ATGGGGAGGCTAGGAGAAGGCTTAGTTAGTAGAAATAATAAGACTGATCGGGTCCTAGGACAGCTTATCACCTTTTATCTAACACGGGAAGTACACCAAGTGCGACGCTCAGACTTTCTTTGAATTCTGCACACACGTTGGGCACCAACTAAATATCAATTCCTGAAAGTTTTAACTCGCGCTTTGCAAGCGCCACTGAGATATTGGACGATCTTTGCCGTGGAGAGAGTACGCCCAACGCGGAGAGCGATCAGAGAGAAAAGCGCTTTTTGGCCATAACTTTGACAGTTTCGTGCGGAAAAAATTGATTTTTTGTGGAAACATTACCCTTTACGGTAGAAATTGGTATGCAACTTTTTGTGCCGAAATTCGGCAAAAAGTCCGAAATTTTCGCCGACTTTCCATCTAAAAATCTCGGCTGTTTCGGCAAAGCGCGAGCTAGAATTCTCGCATATATTTTAGAAAAAATTACTCCAAATCTGTACCAAGATTCATCAAAATCTGAGCGTCGCACTTGGGGTACTTCCCATGTAAATATTATCTAATAATGCCTAGATAAAAGTTATGGATCTTCATTTTTTGCCAGCTTATCACCTGTTTTTAGATATTTTAGATGACTCACGTCAATAATAGACCAAAATCTTGAAAGGCACGGCCCGATGGTATGCCTAATTTTGGCCGCTTTTCAACCGCAGAGGGTAATATTTCCACAAAAAAATCAATTTTTTCCGCATAAAACTGACAAAGATATGGCCAAAAAAAAGTTTTTTTTCTGTGACCGCTCTCCGCGGTTCATGTGCTCTCTCTCTCTCGGCAGCAAAGGCCGTTGAATATCTCGGCCACCCCTAAAAAGCATGAGCTAGAATTTTCATGGAAGATATACATATATATGATATGTGACATGTATAATATATATGATATACGACATGAAATATATATATGATATGTAGCCTATGTATGTGTGTGCTAATGTAACGATAAACTTAGTGTCGCTCTTGACAAATTTCGCTCGTAAATTTGAACCGTTTCATTATGAAATTGAAGCGTTGCATTTTGAGCACTTCCCTGTTATATGAAAATTAAGATAGTAGTATATACGTATATATTAACTTGACGACAAAATATCAATCCAATTCTGGGTTGCCCTTTGGTGAATGGTTTTTTAACTCCCACAGTTCAAATATTCGACACACATGTGTTACTATATAAATACATCAGCCTTTTATACACGTACGTTTACTTATGTAGCATATAGCACCTGACGGAGCCTGTAGTGTCTGCATTTCGGTTTTTTTGCTTAGTTGAAAAAATATGATGTTATTTTGCAAAATGTTTCGCTACAAACTTTGTCGGGTACAGAGGTAAAGTACCCAAGAATGTGGAAGAGTTTGTCATTGGGCTTATTCTTCAATACTATTGGAAGGGATCGGCGAATTGTCGCACCCTTCATTCGTAACGAAACTTATATCATTTTAAAGAGCATTGAAAATAGTGTATAACGTAAGAAACATTAGCTGCCCAATATATGCTTCGGCAAAGTTATGGCCCTTTTATGAAAGGGGTTATATACGGCCAAAACGCCGGTTTCTTATAATACAGTAATCCTGGCGGCTTGCAATCGTCTTAACTGATTTCCTAGTATCCAAAACCCATTATCACCTTCGTTTTATGGCTTTACAAACTCTCGGTTATAAGTTATTAGACGTTACTGCTACGAGCCAGACTGATAAAAGATCTCTTGGCTGGAATCCGAGAACTCGAACTTGCAAGGGAACTACCAAGTTTGATGCTCAGATTTCGGAAAAAGTTCCTTATTTTGGCCACAAGAAAGGTACTCCGCGAACTGCGCCCAAACTTGGGCATTAAAGTTAGGAAAAAACGTTTCGACCTAGCTGGCACTGAATTACTATAATAGCTCTATAGTTTTAAGGGTACCTACGAAGGCTGTGACGGCTCCATTTAGTTCCATACAGAGGCAATAAGTTTAGTTCCGGACATGTTTCATCGTATAAAGCGTAAAATCACGGGCTGCAACCGTTTTTGAAGGGTAAGGTGGTACGTAAAAAAGAAGGTACCTCACTAACTAAATCCACTGGGCATTGACAACGATGAATTGAGCGTGCACGCCAAATTTGGACTAATTCCGACCAGTTTCCGCAAAGTTATAATTTGTGGCCAAAATAAGGAACTTTTACCCAGATTTCCTCTATATTTTGCAGCATAAGCCACAAATAAATTACTCCAATTTTTCGCTCGGAATTTTCAATGACAGCCTATATATTCAACGATCTTTGGAGTGGAGAAAGTACGCAAAACGCGGAGAGTGGTCAGACAGAATCTTTTCTCACTTTTTAGCCGTATCTTTGCCAGTTTCGTACGGAAAAAATTGATTTTTTGTGGGAATATTAGACTATACGGTAGAAACAGACATCATACTTTTTACGCCAAAAATCGACAAAAAATTTTCAAAATTTTTTCCAATTTTCACCTAAAAAATCTCGGTTGTTTCTGCCGAGCGCGAGCTAGAAGTCTTGAAAATGTCCTATAAAAAACTGTTCTAAATATACGCCAAGTTTCATCTAGGTTTGAGCGTTGCACTCTTGGTACTTCCCCTCTCAAATTAGCAGTGGAAAAGTGCAGGCCATGTATTTTACATACTAATATGGCAGCTGGATGCGGAAATTATCTCTAATTCGGTTTAAAACTCATTTCTTGTACCTGTTTACCAACCTACAGAATCTGCCATCACTTTGTATAATTTGTGACAGTGGGCTAGACGTGTCTGACTTTTATGACTATTCTAGACGTTTCTAGAATAGTCTTCTGATTTATAATTTGTTAGAATTGGTGCACTTTCGAGTAGAAGGATTCGGCCAAAATTTTGCCATCAGAATAGTCATCAAAAGTGATGCACTTTCGAGTAGAAAGATGTGGCCAAAATTGGGCCAAATGCTTCTTTTCAAGTACCGCCGGAAGTGGCCTAGATGGCCGTAGGGCAAGGACTAGATGGCAGCTGTGAAAATTTATTCTCAAAGTGGACACGCGACACTGATAACGGTCTGTCGGGAAAATAATGTGGATTTGTCGCAGCATAAAATCTCGGACTGTCGCAAGTAGAAGCAGAAGTCTGGATGTCGCAAAGCGATGATGGGTTCGAAGACACGACAAATCCACATTATTTTCCCGACAGACTGATATTTATTTCCCTATATATCTTCCCAAAAAATCAACCTTTTCCCCCACAAACTGGCAAAGATACGGCGAAAAAATGTTTTTCCCTGCGACCGCTCTCCGCGTGAGCACAGTGAAAAACAATTTTTTGGCCAAATTTTTGCTAATCTTGCGTTGGAAAAAAAATTTTTTTTGTAGACGTTTGTTGCTCTAGTAAACATGGACCTTTTCCCGCCAAAAGCTGCAAAAATAGCGATTTTTTTTGAAAATTTCTCTGAATTTGGGCCGAATTTCATGCAATTTTGTCTTTTTATTCTAAGTAATGACAGTAGGAATACAATGTCTATTCGTTTTCTAGTCCGTCGGGAAAATAATGTGGATTTCTCGCGCCTTCGATCCGTCCACTATCTCTTTGCGACAGCAAGCCGCGGCTGCAGGTTGGACGGCATTTTGCTGCTTCTGCAAATCCATATTATTTTCCCGACATACGCAGGGGAAAGTACTCCAAGTGCGACGCTGAGATTTTGATGAAACTTGGCACAAATTTAGAATATTTTTATCTAAGATATATGCGAGAATCCTAGCTCGCGCTTTGCAGAAATAACCGAGATTTTTAGATCGAAAGTCGGCCAAAATTTAGGACCTTTTGCCGAATTTCGGCTCGAAAAGTTTCATGCCTATTTCTACCGTAAAGGATAATGTTTCTACAAAAAATCAAATTTTTCCGCACGAAACTGCCAAGGTTATGGCCAAAAAGCGCTTTTTTCTCTGACCGCTCTCCACGTTTAGCGTGCTCTCTAGGCGGCAAAAATCGTTCGATATGTCGGCGGCGCCCGCAAAGCGCGAGCTAAAACTTTCAGGAATTGATATATAATCCATACCCGACGTGTGTGCAAAATTTAAAGGAAATCTGAGCGTCGCACTTGGAGGACTTCCCCTGTAAATAAAAAATAGGCAGGAAAATATAAATTTGGCAATTTTTAAAATACGCTGGAAATATGATGATTTCCGGAACCTTTTTGCGCGAACTTTGATGAGCCATAACTCTGCCCTCAGGGCCCGTAAAAACTTTTGGACGCCAGATTCTTCTTACACAGCCTGAGGCCTTCACAGTCCACTAGGTCACCAGTATGGATCGATCTGCGAAAAAAGTGACTTCCCTTGTGAGCGTCGCACTTGGAGTACTTCCCCTGTCAGCCAAGAGAAGAAAAAATGTCGTTTTTGGACTTGAATCTATCCGAAGCCCGCCGGAAATGTCGTGTCCGCCAGTGTGGGCACCCTTGTGACTATTTTCGCTACAAATATTCACTCGCGAACACGTGTCTGAAACAATGGATAAAGCCCGAAATAAAAGTGTAGGTTGAGCGGCAATAAAATGCCGACGAAGGTGCAAAGACCAAGTGTTCTTTGCTAAACAAGCTTCCGTTACAACGCTTGTGTTGTTCGAAGACTGCAGCAATAGACATTGACCTTTGTCGGAGATCTTGTAGTTTCATTTTCGAGGGTTTTTGTACCGTAGCATGTGATTTCATGACAACAGGATGTAAAAACTTCTAGATAGGGCGTTGTTTGGAAATCCTTGTAGTGTTTTGACTACATTTCTAGCGGCTGTTGCGTGATTGACAAGTGTATTCAAGGAATTTCAGCGATTACAGCCGATTTTTCAGCCGGTTTTTTTCAGACAACCCCTTAACTCAGCATTTCATTCAAATCGTTGGCAATTTTACAACGCCCGCTTATAAATTTCTACTTGAAATAATCTACAACTGTTTTCCAACCCATCTTCAACCATCTCCACTGCCTTGCGGCGCCCGAAACTACGGTGAAAAATGAGCTTTGTCTCGCTGTTCTTTTGGTGCCTGGACACGTTCGGCCTCACGTTGGGCCTCGTGCTGGAACTCATGCTGATCACGGTGGTGATCAACTTCAGCGGCGGCAAGAACAGCGTCATGGAGTTGTATGGGCGAATGGTGGTGGTGATCGCCATGCAGGACGCAATGTTCTGCTTCTACGAGCTGAACGTGCAGCATGTAAGTGGCGGTTTTTTTGCCGAAAATTTCAGAGTTTGTGACCTTTTTCTTATGCAGTGAGGAACCGGATCCAATGGCAAAAAACGTCTCATTTTGCATCCCGGAAGGGACTAAAATGTCTCCAAACCCTGGCCTTCTCTATGCTAAATAACCCCCGCTTTGAAGAGTCCTCCTTGAAGGGAAGGGTGCACTTTTTTTCAAAGCAGAGTTTTTCAGCTTAAAGAAGGGAAGGGTTTGGAGTCATTTTGGTCCCTTCCGGGATGCAAAATGAGACGTTTTTTGCCGTTGGATCAGGTCCCTCACTGTATGTATTTTTCGACCAAAGAATCTTCATTGTTTTCGCAACAACTATCGCATAAGTGTTTGAAAAATTTGATTATGTTTTACCGTTAATTTTGAGTAATAGGCTCACCGGTAATATCATTAATTTTGGCTACTCGGACTTTCCGTTTGACACGTAGAATGCGGCTTTTTTATGGCATAAAAAACAACTTTTTTAAATTTTATAAAAGACATAGATCCCAGGGGAAACACCTGACACAAAGTGGGGATAAACTTGACTCATTCTGCATGTGGGATTTAAAAAAAGAAAGCTTGTGAAAATCGCAATTATCCGTGAAATAAAGTATCGGATTGTCGGGAAAATAATGTGGATTTGAAAATTTTTAATGGAATCTGAAGAGCGAGAAGCTAAAAAATTGTAGTTGAGGTATAGGTAAGCTGCATTAAAAATCAAAATTCCACTTTTGTCATAGCTCTAATTTTTGCAAATTTTGCACAGTGCAAAAAATGTTCTCACTGCACCGTGCAGGCTCGATTTTAGACCAATTTGGGCTCCGCACAGTGCAAAAATTTCGGTGCTTTGCACAGTGCGGACAAAAATATTAGTCTGTCGGGAAAATAATGTGGATTTGTCGCTGCGAAATATCTCGCTATATAATAAATTTTTCACTGTGCAAAAAATTTTTATAAAATTTTATGTGTGAAAATTTTGCACAGTGCAAAAAATTTTTCTCACTGCACCGTGCAGGGTCGATTTTAGGCCGTTTTCGGCTCCGCACAGTGCAAAAATTTCGGTTCTTTGCACCGTGCGGACAAAAGTCGTAGTCTGTCGCGAAAATAATGTGTATTTTTCGGAGAAAAATGGCTCGCTATATAATAAATTTTGCACTGTGCAAAAAATTTTTATAAAATTTTATGTGTGAAAATTTTGCACAGTGCAAAAAATTGTTCTCACTGCACCGTGCAGGGTCGGTTTTAGACCATTTTAGGCTCCGCACAGTGCAAAAATTTCGGTTCTTTGCACCGTGCGGACGTAAGTTCATATTAGTCTGTCGGGAAAATTATGTGGATTTATCGGAGAAAAATGCGTCGACATGTTGGAGTCAATGAAATCTCTAGCTGTGGCTAGCCGTCGAAAATTTATGGACGTTTTCAAGGCCCCACAAATCCATATTATTTTCCCGACAGACTGGTATTTTTATGATGTTATATAATACTCTGAGGTGGACACCTTAAACCACAAGTTATAATTAGATGGTAAATCTCAGTCTATATATGTATACGTACATTTAGAGAAGTAAAAAAGCTGAAAAAGGAACTTCTTGCAATTAGATTAACTCTTCCTGTTCTATTTTATGAGCCTTTGATTAAGACAAAGTACTCTAAAAAAGATCAAAAAGATTTGTGTTGTTCCCAAGTACTCCGAGTTCTTAATCCGCCCGGTAATCTCCTAAGCACATGAAAACGGCAACAATCCACCTTCTTATTCCGGAAACGAAGAGTTCTTTCGTAGTAAGGAAAATATGACGTCCTAAAAAGGGGTGTTTCGTAAGGCCTTGGGAAAACGCGAGTGGTGATGACGGTACAAAAATTCTTTCGATTAACAACAAGTACATATTAATAGCGTCACGATGATTATGTATTGTATGGATATTACTCGGCTAGAGAGGCAAAAAAATGATATCAGTCTGTCGGGAAAATAATGTGGATTTATGGCAGCAAAATGTCTCGCCGCAGTCGCGCATCAAATCTCCAGCCGCAGCCAGCCCTCGCAAAGCGATAATAGGCGATTTTGATGTTTAAAAAATCCACATTATTTTCCCGACAGAGTGATGAAAGCGCATGGAAATTCAGCCGCTGTCCGCACTGCGCACAAAAATTCATTATTTTGCACCGTGCATCTCACCTTTTTTTTTTGATTCTGCACTGTGCAATTTGGAAAAATCGCTGCGACAAATGCAAGTTTCAAAAATTTCGGTGCGGGGAATTGCACAGTGCAAACGGCTTTTTTGGAATTTGCACTGTGCGAAAAGAGAAAAATGCACTGTGCGTTGGCGACAAGCGTGAGAAAAAGTTTGAAATGCACTGTGCAAAAAAGAAAAGCCTCTTTTCGCACTGTGCGTTCAACTTTTTTTTTGTTTTTGCACTGTGCGGAGAGATATCGCGGCGGCGTCGCCGGGAATTCGCACAGTGCAAGCGGCTTTTTTATGGTTTGCACTGTGCGAAAAAAGAAAAATGCACTGTGCGCTGGCGACAAGGATGGGAAAAGGTTCAAAATTAGCTGTGAAAAAAAGAAAAAAATCCGTGCACTTTATGAAAATATATACTATATTTACTATAAAAAGATACTGTAATAAGGCCTACAAATGACACATCTTATATGCATCAAATTGTAAAATATTTTTGACTTTCACAAATTCAACTTTCAGATCCTCTGCTTCAGCAACGGCAAAATGTTTGTGAACGCGTTCGGATGGGAGCGGTTTATTCCCGAAAGCTTCTTGCCACTCGCCTTCTTCTTCCACGTGTTTTTCATTTTCAACACTTTCACCTTCCTCCCGGCCATCTACAGCTATCGTTACGAGTATTTGAAAAAGTAAGGGGTTGTCAGAAAAATAATATTAGTCTGTCGAGAAAATAATGAGCACCCTGTCGCAGTGAAAATCGCATCAAAAATGAATTTTGTTGCGAAAAATTCAAATTGCTTTCCACTTCAGCGACACGATTGGTGCAGCTACATTATGGTCATTATTTTCCCGACAGACTGAGATACTATTTAAATTTGCATAATAATATAAAAATATTACTATATAGACTAAAACAAAAATTTTAGTTCGGTTCTCGGCTGGACAGGCCTGTTCGGCCGTGTTGGCCTGGCCATGTCATTTTCGGCCCTATGCAGTACCGCCGGATATTTGGCGATCGAAAAGTCGGTGGCTCGAGGAAGAGACTTCTACCTCGAACAACTGCCCAAAGCCTGGACTGATGAGCATGGAGGAACAAACTTTATTTACGCCTTGGACTTGGTAAGTCAGAAAAAAAACTTCTGATATCAGTCTGTCGGGAAAATAACGAGCATTTTGACGCATCGAAAATCGCATTGCCGCCGAGAAAATGAATTGTCTTCGCGGCGAGATCAAATTGCTTTTCAATTCAGCGACACGATCGGCGACATTGTGCTCATGATTTCCCCGACAGACTGATATTTTTAATTAAAAAAGACAGAAAACACAAAGATTGTGGTTTTGAGAATTCTTTTTAAAAATTATGAAACACCACGTGCTTGTATAATATCAAAATTTCGCATGTGAGCTTTAGTAATCACTCAGAATTTCTTCCTTGTTCTTGTAAGGGTGAATGTACCCCAAGCGAGGAACTATAACACGTGGTTTTGCGAAATCTGACAAAATGAAAAAACACAATTCCTTATACAAAAGATTTTTTTTAATTTTAAACTCAAAACATGGATAGCTTATGGAAGGTTTACTTCCTTTTTCGATAATAAATTTTCGCCGAATTGATAAAAAAAAAGTTGTACTTTTACCTCAAAGGCGCGACCAATCCACATTATTTTCCCGAGAGATTATAATATGTATATGTATCATTTGAATTTTTTGATTTTTTTCAAAAAGTAATCGCATACTGTATGGTGAATGGGTGTGTTACAACATATATATGTATATCAGTCTGTCGGGAAAATAATGTGGATTTTTCGAACAATCTATTGCCACGGCTAGCCATAGCAATGATGGGCGATTCCAAGACGCGACCAATCCACATTATTTTCCCGACAGACTGATAATGTTTCTTCCAGAAAGTGCGTAGACTTTTCGTCCCACAGTTTTTCGCACTGTGCATTTCAGTCTTTGCACTGTGCAAAAAAACTTTTTCGAAAATCGCCGCGACGTAAGCATTTTCTTTTTTGCTTCAAACGCGACGCTGCAAATTTTAGCGACAAACAGTTGCACAGTGCAAAATTTTTTAAAATGGCCGGCGCACCGTGCAAAAAGAAACATGAGGAGTGTGCACTGTGCGCCACGATCAAAAGTCTACGCACTTTGCGGAAGGACTAATATCAGTCTGTCGGGAAAATAATGAGCACTCTGTCGCATCCAAAATCGCATCACTTCTCGAGAAAATTAATTGTGTCGCAGCAAAATCAAATTTCTTTTTACTTCAGCGACACGATCGGCTCATCAATATTGTGCTCATTATTTTCCCGACAGACTGTTAAAAATCTATCTTAAAAAAATTTTCTCTGCATCGCAACAATTTTTTTCTACTAGATATTTACAAAATGTTTTGCTCGTTCTTTGAGTTTTCACGCAATTTGTACGGACCATTCTTACTAGTCATTACCGTTTACAACTCCAAAGATTGGCACGCAAAGTTCACAATACGATCCAATTTTTTTTTAAAAAAAGATGTAGTTTACAAACTACATCTATTTTAAAACCTCGCTACGCAATTATATGTTTTCCAGGATGACATTGAAGGCGTTCTTTGGGTGGCGTCGACAATAGTATTATCTTGCATGAGCATCATCATAACGGCATATTATGCCTACAAGGCGTATCGGCTGGTCAACACGAACGTGCAGAAGAAAACACATCAAGGGAAGAGTATTCAGAAGCAGTTTAACAATGGAATCTTGGCACAGGTGAGTTCTACATACAATAATAGGGGTATGTAGGAAGGATTGTAAAACCCTGTTTTCAAATGTCATTTTAAAAAGGAAATTATTTGGAATACTTATACGGGGTATGGGTTATAGGCAAAGATTACCACGGTCAAAATTTCGGCTCCGGCTCCGGTTCTTAGCTCCCAGAGCCGGAGCCGAGGCCAATTTTGCAGCTCCGGCTCTTGGCTCCGTGCAAAATTTAAAAAGGCCTCCGGCTCCGAATCCCGGCTCCTGTGCAAAATGTTTTTTAAAAATATTCTTCCAAAAATAGACGTTATTAGTGCCAGATATCAAGACGAAGAGCCAACGTTTTTGCAGTCAAGTGACGTCCTCCGCAGTGTTTTTTCAAGCAATTTGGTTTAACAATATCACGAAATTTTTACTTTTCTGACCGCTGGGAAGCCTGGCTCCGACTTTGGGCTCGAGAGCCGGAGCCGGAAATTTTGGGGTCGGCTCAAAAAAATATGCAAAAAAAATTTTTGCATAGGAGCCGGGATTCGGAGCCGGAGGCCTTTTTAAATTTTGCACGGAGCCAAGAGCCGGAGCCGAAATTTTGACCATAGCAATGTCTGTTTATAGCTCGGGAGATATATCAAAAATCTGCAAAAATTTTCTGATTCAGGATAGGTAAAAATTAGCTGCCCAGCTTTGGTTTGTAATGGCGAAAAAGTCCGCAGAACTTTTCCCGCAACACCACGAACATGCCTTCTTTTGACCAGTTTTTGCTAATTCAAATGTTTTGTTTTGAGCCAAAGAAAACCTGGCATCTTGACAAGCCTTAAAACATCAAATTTGATTATTGCTACACGGGCAAAAAAAAAGGAAATTTTACGGTGAAAATTGAAGTTTTGTTACAGTTCATGTCGCCAGGACCACTCTGGCGACTCTTTGAACTGATTGGTAATAGAACACGGTACTTTTTCCCAATCGAAAGTAAAAAAAATAATACAGTGACGGACCTGATCCAGTGGCAAAAAACATAGCCTTTTGCATCCGGGAAGTATTAAAAATGTGGCAAAATGCCTCCCTCTGCCAGTGAAAAAAACTTCGTTTTGAAGGGCGCTCTCACAAAAACAGTGGGCGCGCTTTTGAAATCGGTGTTTTTTCACTTTGTGGGGAGGTATTTTGCTGCATTTTTGATACTTCCCGGATGCAAAATGGTACATTTTTTGCGACTGGATTAGGCCCCACTGTATATTTTTTCACTGCATCATCAGATAATAATCGAATCATTTTTCCAGACAATTACAATTGGAGTTCTATCCAACATCCCATCACTCGTCCTCTTCACTTGTATTGCTCTAGGCATTGACGGCACTTACTTGGGCACAATGTTCATGCTCCCCATGTCCTACGTTTCGGCTGTCGGCGCCATGCTGACGTTGTATTGCATGAGAGGGTACCGGCGATGGCTGCTGCAGAAACTGCACTTACGGAGAAAGGGCGAGGTCGGGCAATCGAGCAGCAATTTCGATACGAAAACCACGAAGTATTAAGAATTCAAGAATATATTATAATATATTATATGTATCATCTGATTTTTTTGATTTTTTTCAAAATGTAATCGCATACTGTATGGTGAATGGGTGTGTTACTACATTTATATCAATTGTATATCAGTCTGTCGGGAAAATAATGTGGATTTTTCGAATAATCTATTGCGACGGCTAGCCTTAGCAATGATAGGCGATTCCAAGGCGCGACTAATCCACATTATTTTCCCGACAGACTGATAGTGCTCTTTTCAGAAAGTTAATAGACTTTTCATCCCGCAGTTTTTTGCACCGTGCTTTTTAACTTTTGCACTGTGCAATTGAATTTTTTTCGAAAATCGCCGCGACTTTTGCTCTTTTTTAAACGCGACGAAGCAAATTTCAGCGACAAACAATTGCACAGTGCCAAATTTTTCAAAATGGCCAGCGCACCGTGCAAAAAAGCAACATCCCGCATAAGGAGTGCGCACTGTGCGCCACGACCAAAAAGTCTATGAACTTTATGGAAAGACACATATCAGTCTGTCGGGAAAATAATGAGCATTCTGTCGCGGGGAAAATCGGTCGAAAAAATGAACTGTCTTAAGTCCAGCGACATTGCCCTCATTATTTTCCCGACAGACTAACATTATTTTTAATGAAAATCTTCAAAAAAAAAATTTTTTGTATATTAGACGCAATAAACCATCAATTATAAGTCTTGTCAAACATCACTGCTAGTTCTGATAATATAATATTTATTAGCCGACTAACCCTTATCATACGCACTGACCTTATTATACTTTATAAGAAATTCTATGTAAAACAGAGGATTAAGAAAAAACAGGGCACGAGCCGGATATTTGAACCCTTCATTTTACCGTTCCACGGGCATATATAAGGCGACGCAGAGCGGCATTTATAATAATTAAAAAAGTTGATCCCAAATCTTTTTCTTGTCTTGCATCCACAGTCCGACTCTCGCCATTCTGTAACGCAATTCTCCGCAGGTTGACTGGCTTTTATAATATTACTGCAGATCTTGCATCCTGCATCGTCTTTCCTATAGGTCTGTTATGAAAATAATGAGCTCCGATTGCATTGCTGAAGTGAAAAGCAGTTTGAGTCACAGTTCATTGTCTTGGCGGCGATGCGATTTTCGATGCGACAGAATGCTCATTATTTTCTCGACAGACTGATTGTAGAGCCGACAATTTTTTATCAGTTTGTCGGGAAAATAACGGCTGTTCGTCGCGCCTTGGAATCGCCCATCATCGCTTTGCAACTGAAAGCCGCGGCTGGGGATTTGGTGTGGGATAGCGGCAGGGGTGGTCAGCGGGCCGGCCGGGTTCAAAAATGGAAATTTGACAAACCGGCCGGGCCCGTCAAGTTTTTTCCGGCCCCGTCCGGCCCGTCTATATTAAAATGCCAAACCGTTCGCAATCATTGTTTTCGCGCCGGGAAAATTAATTGATGTTGTTATAGTTGCTGTTTCTCAAGTTCTATAACGCTTACAAGTCTATAGTCGCATTATAAAAACCACAAAACCATCACACTGATACTTTACCAGCTAGATCAACGCCTTTTTTGCCTAACTTTAGTTCCCAAGTTTGGGCGCACTTCGCAGAACCCTCTATAAACGGGCCTGCACGGGCCGGGCCTGGAAAAAGACTAGACGAGCCGGGCAGGTAATTAGACGGGCCGGGCCGCTGGCCGAAAATCGGAAAAATAGGGTCCGCTGACCACCCCTGGATAGCGGTGAGGCGAGACATTTGGACGCGACGACCCGCCGTTATTTTCCTGACAAACTGATAGATAAACAGGTTCGAAACTGTTAGATACACATGTGCCCTGTGCGGAGACGTTGCCGCGACAGTCGCATCTGCCTACTTTAGGCCTTTTTGTAAGCACATTTTTATTTTTGCGGTTTTTTCGACGTTTTCCTTCGTCGGCAATCTCCGCCGACCTCTGTAATCGTTTCCTCAAAAAATCATCTTTGATGTACTAGTCGCGACATAAAGTCCGTAGAATTTGCACAGTGCATTCAACCCTTTTTTTCGCACGCACCGCGGCGCTTCCCCGTTTTTGCACTAGCGACATGCACTTTTCGGCGATTGCACCCGCGACGTTGGCGAAAAAAATTCTACAGACTTTATGGCGCGACTAGTATGTCTATATTTCGCATTTTTGAAAAGGCAAAAAATTGCCCGGTGCAAAGTGAACTTTTGTTTTCTCAGACTTTTTTGGGCTGTCACTCACTTCCTGACCTCTTCTGCACCGTGCATAATTACTCCAGCGACTTTACGAGCGCACTATTAGTATTTTCCACAAAGTGTGTTGACTCTTATAGCTTTATTATTTACTGTATCATGGCCTTTATTATAGACAGAGTGGGCTATTTCACCCATGAGATTTGGACCAGTTTTTTTTTAAATCACATTGAGGGCATAACTTTATCGTAAATAAAATAAATATCATTTTAGATTTCATGATACTGTTGCGGGCAGATATAAATCATCTCTCCCGCCGTCGGGAGAGAAAGAGAATCTCGCCCTAGATCTTCAGTCGGGGTTTGTTGTAGGCCTTGGGTGCGGACGCGCACCCTTGGAGTCTCCTCAATAAACTTAAAATGGAATATGATATCGGCATATATTGAGCTAATTAATATTGCGCTACTAGAACCAACGGGTCAACATCACCCGCTACAATACCATATTGATAATTCCAGAGCTGAATATAGCGGTCTTCGTATTCGGAATCTATGACGACGTATACAACTTATTTCTCGGAAGTTACATCGTACTTTCCGAATTTTCATGACTTATTCATTTTATACCTTTCAAACACCACATCAAGTCCTCACAAAGCACTTGTTGGCACTGTACAAAGGCCAACATGCGCATAGATAAGGGCTTTTAGCGGGTCCTTAACCCTTGTAGCCGCCCGTCATTTTGTTTCTCAAGTTGTGCTTTTGTGTTTTCCAACAAACATCAAACTACATTTGCGTCTCTCAAGATTTTTCTTTGTCTTTTCTACAACTGCTGGTGTAGTTTATTCAGGTATTTGTCAATTCAAGATGGTTGGCAGTTTTGGTTTTATCAGGCGTTTTGAGCAAATACTAGTCCGTTTGCAAAGTCGCTTGACTTTTGCACTGTGCAGAAAAAGTCAGGGTGTGAGCGATACTCGAAAAAGTTTGCTGCACGGTGCAAAAAGCAAGAAATTGCACAGTGCAAAGCGAACTCTTTTTTGATATTATTTGGACGGGTTTTACAGTAACCGGTTACGTGGCTTCCAAAAAACCTATTTTATTATGTTTTCTGATCATTTTGTAGCACTTTACTTTAAGCAAACAAGAAAAAATTAAAAAAAATGGACTGTATTTTCCGAATCGGCATGGTCCATAGTACCCTACATCCCGCCAGATCTCATTGAGCACAGCAATCTGTCGGGAAAATAAAGAATGCAGTGCCGCCGTCCCAATAGCGTCGCGGAAGTGAAAAGCAATTTGATTTTGCCGCAACACGATCCATTTTTTTGTGATTTTTGGTGCGACAGAGTGCTCATTATTTTCCCGACAGGGTGATAATAGAATTCTTGTACCGATCTTTTACAGCAGTTGACTTTTTCGTATGTAATTAGTCCGCTCGCAAGGTCCCTGGAGTAATTTTCGCGACATGCACTGTGCGAAAACAACTATGCACTTTCTTGCTTTCTGCACCGTGCAACAGCCTTTTTTTGGGGTGTCCCACGCACCCCGACTTAATTTGCACAGTGCACGTCGCCAAAATCACTCAAGCGATTTTACGAACGGACTAGTAAACCAGCTGACCTTTTCATATTTACGCTAAATTTTCCACCGTCTAATTAGGTTAATGTCTGACCAAAATAAGAACGGATTATGCGCGCAGATACGTACCTTTCCACATAAAGAGTAACATTGTTTTCGCGGGTGCCCATTAAACCTTTTTGCAGCCCTTTATTTCCGGGTAAATTTACTTAACAATTAAAGTGAGTAAGTGTCTGTCGGGATCAAAGCCCAACGCGGGGTATGCCTACGGGGAATGCGTTGCAATTGACGCATACTTTTCAACGTGTCCATTGGTGTTCAAAGATGTCTACTTTTGGCGTGGCTTAGGCTGCTTATTTTTAGGGTTTTCAACATTCCTTGTTGTTAGTATGCTTTGGATGTCTCCTCAAAGCCTTTTGTAGTAGCCCTGATGACCTTAGATTTACAGGGAAAGCCCTGTAAGTAAGATTCTAAAGTTTTGATGAAACTTGGCTCAAACGTAGAATATTTTTTTCAAAAATATATGTGAGAATCCTAGCTCGCGCTTTGCAGAAACAACCCCGATTTCTAGATCGAAAGTTGGCGAAAATTTGACCTTTTTTTGCCGAATTTCGGCACGAAAAGTTGCATCCCTCTTTCTGTCAGCGAAAAATTTGGGTTTATTTTTATAAAGACGACACTTCTAGTTCGCGCTTTGCAGAAAGAAACAAGATTTTTAAAAAATGAGCGTTTTTTGCGACCTTTGACGTGAAACGTTTCATACCGCTTTACCAAAGAATGTAATAATGTTTCCAAAAGGAATTCTTTGACCTTAAAAGTCGTTGCTCCCGTGTGACCGTCGCCGTTTGAGGATCCTCCCTGCAATAGCAATCGCTTAATCCTTTGAAAACGACCGTTCTTTGTTATACTACATACACAGTTCTGAACAATGTAGTGAATCCTTTTTTTGGCCTTGAAGTTCTTTTGCACCTGAGACAGCAGCTATTGCAAGCGGTCTTTGGCTTTGCGCCGAAGACAAATGACTAAAGAAAGCAATGAAAAAGCGGACGAACTTTATGGACGACCCACTATTGTTAAGGCATTGCTTTAACAATGTAGTGCTTGCCCTTGCCGGAGTACAAAAAAAAAGGATTTTTGCAGAGGATGTCTTTTGTTCTTATTCAGACAAAATTCCGGACAAATAGGGTCCATTGGCATCCTACTTCGGAAAATCGGAGCCTCTAATGTATAATTTATAAAACAATTTTTTACTGTCATTTTTACGACGCTACACTGCGGGTCGGGTCAAGTTTTTTTCATGGGGTGGTCAAGTCTTTCCCCTAATATTATTTTTTCCCCGAAATTCAGACTGTTATATGGGAGGTTAATCAAGGTAAATCTGGTCAGTTCTTGTTGATTATTCCAAGAACAAGTCTTATTCTATTTTTAGAAATCAAATTTGATTGAATTACGGTGTGGGTTTGCCTCATTTTTTAGCATTCTTTGGGGGTATGTATTCTATACCTAAATGATCAATTGTGAGACAGTTTCAAGTCTGATTTACGATATCGTTTCCATTTCACCTTCGGACGTACGCCACCTGTCCAATAAAGGTAAGTAACTGTGAATCTGGTAGTCCGTTTTCTAGTAATTAAAGATTTTGTATATTATACTAGGTACTTTTGAAGATTTTTGTTGAGATTTGCCAAGTTTTCGGCCTGGATTAGATTATTTAGCGTAATATTGGTCTCTAGTGCCTATAAAAACGTAAGTGGACAGGTTTCTCCTTCTCTTTTAGACTTTTTCTTTGTGTCCAAAGTTGATGCAGATTTTAGGTAGAGATGAAATTCAACGCCCAAACTATGCGGAATTTTCATAAAAATCAAAGAAAATACTTTCGAGGATCATCAAGCGAAGCAAAAATGTGTATGAGACCAACCTAGCGTTTTTTTCAGGCGGATGTTATACATGATCCATGTAACGTATAACGTCTGGATCACATCTGTGAAGACCTCTGGTGATGGAAAACGTGGTTAGGACAGTAAAATTAATATGTTGGACGTGATTTTGAGGGAAAACCAGGCAAATCCCGTACAAAATTTTCTGAATAACCTAGAATAATATACAAAATCTTTAATTACTAAAAAACGGACTACCAGATTCACAGTTACTTACCTTTATTGGACAGGTGGCGTACGTCCGAAGGTGAAATGGAAACGATATCGTAAATCAGACTTGAAACTGTCTCACAATTGATCATTTAGGTATAGAACACATACCCCCAAAGAATGCTAAAAATTGAGGCAAACCCACACAGTAATTCAATCAAATTTGATTTCTAAAAATAGAATAAGACTTGTTCTTGAAATAATCAACAAGAACTGACCAGATTTACCTTGATTAACCTCCGATATAACAGTCTGAATTTCGGGGAAAAAATAATATTAGGGGAAAGACTTGACCACCACATGAAAAAAACTTGACCCGACCCGCAGTGCGCTACGTCTTTCTGGGTCAGCGATAGTTTAGGTCAATAATCTTATAGTTTGCGTCGGCAATTGTATACGAAGTGGAGGCTAGGAGAAGGTTTAGTTAGTGGAAATAGTATGTAGAATTGATCGGGTCCTAGGATAGGTTATCATCTATTTTGAGGCATTTTCCATGTACTCACATCAATAATGCGTAGATAAAAGTGACAGATCTTCTTTTTTTTGCCGCAAATTTTGGTCTGTCATATGTTACAATAACTCAGAGTTAAGAAAACTAAAGCTAGTTATGGGCAAAATTAGAAAAAGTGGACATATTGCAAGTCTTCGCCAAGTCTCCGCCAAGCCTCCGCCGAGCCTTCGCCAAGCCTCCAACGGCTTTGCTAGGCCCCGCAGGCAATTCCTACAGCCTCTTTTGCCTCTTTTGAGTACTTATCCACCTGCCTTACCCCCCCATATCGACCGGCTTTGCCTTGACCCGAACTTTCGTCCACCCGAAAAGTCATGACGCGGTTACGCGTGCTCCCTCGGCCGCAAAGATCGTTGAATATCTTCGCTGCATCAATAGAGCTCGAGCCAAAATCTCCAAGAATTGATATATGGCCCATGCTTGAGGTGGGTTCAAAATTTGAAGCGAGTCTGAACGTCGCACTTGAGGTCACTCGAACTTCATTCTTGTTGTGGAGCGTCAAACGTCTCCACAATTCCCACAGAAATTAGCATAAACCAAGTCATATAAAAGCAATGTCTCGTCACCAATTATCATAATTAATCCCATTTCTCTTTTCCCTGTTTGCGGTGGTCCAATAAACCTTATTCCTAATCTCGTGTCTACCATTACCTCTACCTATCTATAGTTGATCCTACACCACAATTCTCTTTTTTTAATTTGTGCTACAATCAACTTGCAGACACTACATTGCTGCAATTAATTCCCGTCTATACGGTTCATTTTTGTGGCTTCTCATTGTAGTGCCGGTCGCCGAAGGGCATGCCTGTCATGTCTGCGTACACCGACATGTAATCCCGGGTTTTAATATCCTCCACCCTCCTTTTTCTCCCCGTTCATTTGGTTTGTGTACCGTTGTAGATGTAGGTAGCCACTCTGGAAATATGAAGTGTATACTCAGTTTTGTCAAGCAGCGGGTTTGATCCCCAATTCCAAGAGCCGGTTAAGCTTTTGTTGGCTACATTTCTGCTGTAGTACGTTGAAAAAGTTTACCGTTTTCAACGTATCTACTTGACCAATTAAGTTGCCAAAAAAGAATACTGTCATAAAAATGTTAGACTCCTACCAATCCTCACAGAATGAACTTATACAACTTCTACGGGGCTTTGGTAGTTCAGCCCCCCACGAAAGGTAGTTCAAACCCCCCACTGTTTTGTCCATTTCACACCCCCCATAATGAAAAAATTAGAATAATAAAAAAAATGCAAATTAGAGTAAATCACCCCCCGGCGTTTTAGCTCACACCCCCAGTTGACGTCGAAATTCGTTCTTCTGGTTCAGGCAACCATGATCGTAGCCGAGAGAACCCAATCCCGAGTAGGCGCTTCAGATTGGATGAGGGGGTTTGTACTGGGTCAAGGGGGGCTGAACTGGACTGGGGGTTGTACCACCTTAGCCCCGTCGTTTCATAGAGCGCATAGACATTCTTCACGTCGCATTTTTTTCTTTTTGAACTGTGTCTGTTGCGCACCCAAAATGCGTGGCGACGTAGTACAAAAAAGCTTACGTAGAAAAAAGCTTACGTCGCGGCGACTTTTAATTTGCACTATGCAGAAGGTCAAGTGCGGAAAACATAGAGTGCGGAAAGTCCACGTATAATACATTATGGAACGACTTGTAGTTATACTTATTATTAGGTCAGGGGTTCAAAAAAGGTTCTCTCACTAAAATTAGAAGCTCGCAAACACATCAAGTTTAGGTTTGTACCGAACAGGGAAGTACTCCAAGTGCCACGCTAATATTTTCTTTAAATTCTGCACGAACATTGGGCATGAACTAAGTATCAGTTCCAGAAAGTTTTAGCTCGCGCTTTGAAGGCGAAGCCGAGATATTGAACGATCTTTCTCGCTGAGAGAGTACGCTAAGCGCGGAGAATGGTCAGAGAGAAAAACACTTTTTCGCCATAACTTTGCTAGTTTCGTGCGGAAAAAATTGATTTTTTGTGGAAAGATTACTTTATGGTAGAAATAGGCATGAGACTTTTCGTGCCGAAGTTCGGCAAAAAATGTCAAATTTTCGCCAACTTTCGAACTAAAAATCTCGGTGGTTTTTGCAATGCGCGAGCTAGGAGTGTCTCATATATTTTAGAAAAAAATGTTTTAAGTTTGAGCCAATTTTCATCAACATCTGAGCGTCGCACTTGGGGTACTTCCCATTTGAACTGTTTTAACTTCTTGAACTCAAATTCAATTCAAAGTTCAAGTTCACTGTGAACTTTTGACCTAAATCATTCAACAAGCAAATTACTCCAAGTGCAAAGTTCAGATTTTTTTAAAATTTTGCATATACTTCGGGTACTGCCGAGATGTTGAACCACCTTTGTGGCCGAGATAAAATTTCTGAGTCTAAATGTATAATATGTTATTTCATGTACTTAATGTTCCAAATTTGATTGTAAAACACATATTAAAATTGTGACTTTCTACTGACGCCAACATCCAAACATAATCGAATTTTCCCGGGTTATAGCGCACTCGTGCCCTATTGTTTCGTACTTTCATCCAGGACAAACGTCTTTTCTATTGTAAACTTGGTTTTCAGCAGCCCATGGCCAACTTTATTATCGAATTTTTCTGGTTCAACGACATCTTGGGATCGGTGTTGGGCGTGATCTTGAGCTCATTGCTGATCTTCGCCGTGTTCCAGCGGCGCGATGGCAAGACAAAACAACTTCATCCCTACAGTCGGATGGTGTTGGTGATGGCCGTGAACGACTTCTTCTTCTGCTTTGTGGAAGTGAATGTGCAGCATGTAAGTGAGACAGTACTGTATATATCGCGCTGAATTATCAGTCTGTCGGGAAAATAGTGGTGGTTGTCGCAGAAAAATGTTTCGAAAAAGTGACTAACCGTAGCAAAACGATCATGTGCGATTTCAAGGCCCGCTGTTATATTTCCGACAAACTGATATCGCTATCGCGCGTGACGTTGTGCAGAAAAACAAAATTGCACTGTGCAAACTCATTTTTTATGGCATTCGCGGTACAAATGGGGGGTTTTCGCAGAGCGTCAGAAAAAATGCACAGTGCAAAGTTGCAGGAAATTCTTAGGACTTTATAGCTCGAGTATTTACTTATTTTTGTTTCTATAATATTATCAATCTGTCGGGAAAATAATGTGGATTCGTCGCACCTTTAAATCGTCCACCATCGCCTTGCAACGGGCTAGTCGCAGCTGAAGATTTGATGAGAAAATGCGACGAATCATTGCAGACATTTTTCTTCGACAAATCCACATTATTTTCCCGACAGACTGATACTTTCCCTTTTTTAAACAACCATTATTTATATGTTTGCCTTTTCAGATCCTGGCTTTCGGAAATTACAAAATGTTCGTCAACGCCCACGGCACAGAATATCACTTTCTGAGCAGTCGCGAACATCCCTATTCCTTCATGGTTCATGTGTTTTTCCTCATGAATACGATCACTCTGCTGCCGGCGGTCTACTCGTATCGATACGAGTTGATGAAAAAGTAGGTTTTTTGATGTTTGAATATCAGTCTGTCGGGAAAATAATGGGCACTCTGTCGCTTTGAAAATTCATTTTTCCGTTGTCGAGAAAATGAATCGTGCCGTGGCAAAATGAAATTGCTTTTCACTTCAGCGACGCAATTGGCGCATGACATTGTGCTCATTATTTTCCCGACAGTTTGAAACAAGGGTAAAAGAGCAGTCAGGAGGACAGAAATTGGGGACAAAAAAATTAAAGAAGCGAGGGCAAAAACGCCCAGTACGGTCGGTCCAGATATGGCTGGGGCCGGGCTTTTGGGGCGCAGGAAATTTTCAAAACGGCAGGGTGCCCTCGACGAGGGCTAAATTTGCCACAAGCTTCATCAAAATCAGGGTGTCGTTTTTCAAAATGGCGGGCCCACACTGGTAACCACTTTGCGGGCAGCTAGAAGAGCTACGGAAATTCTTCGGGCAAATTGTGATCATTATTTTCCCGACAGACTGATGGAATTAGCAGTATCTCTTTATGTGCTACACGGTTTAAAGATTGGGGAAAATTCAGGTCCTAGGAGGGTTTATCTTGAGGTATTTTGCATGTATTAAGGCAACAATACCCGGGTAAAACTTTCGGATCTTCGTTTTTTTTTTGATTGCAAATATCTTCGCCCCGTCTCCGCAAAGCCTTCTCCGCCTAGCACGCAAGGCTTTACCAGTCTTGTAGGCATTTCCTACAACCTTTTTTTGACCCTCATAAATCTCATTTTCAGTCCTGCCGCCGCTGAAAGTTGGTCGCCCCTTCTGCGCCGCGTCTTCATCTCCTGCGCGTTGTCCTTCATCTGCGCGACATGCGGCTGGCTGGCGGTTCATCGAGCCCTACAAAACGGCCACGAATACTATCTACAGTTTTTGCCAGACGCCTGGATTGACGAGCACAACCACACCAACTTCGTCTACCCGGTTGACGTCGAGAACCCGGAGGGCGTGAGTTGGGTGGCGGCGTTGGTGATCGAAAGTGCATTGTGCATCGTTGGCGCTGTGTATTACGCTGCAAAGGCGTATGCATTGGTCAACCACAAGAGCCACTTCACAAGTGCCAGAACGAAAAGCATGCAGACGCAGTTTACACGGAGCATCATTGCGCAGGTAAGGAGAGTTCACCATTAGAAGGGTTGAAGTGAAATGCATACATTTTCTATAAATATTGCACACATGTCGGGGATAGGCCACACTTTAATTCCTGAAAATTTTAGCTTGCGCTTTCCAGGGGCAGCTGTATTCGACTAGGTTTTCAGCTGGCGGAGAGTGTAAAATGCGGAGAGCGAGCAGAGAGGAAAACACTTTTTGGACGTATCATTGCCAGTTTCGCGCGGAAAAAAATGAGTTTTTGTGGAATTTCATTACCTCCTACAATAGAAATATTATAAGTATGAGCCTTTTCAAACCAAAAAACAGGAAAAAATTTGGAAAGACGTGTTTTTTTTGGCCCGGCGCTTCGCAGCTTGCGCCCTGGTATCCCGACTGCGAATAAAAATAGGAAACAGCCTAAGCGCTAAACTAAGCCTAAGTCTAGCCTGCCTAAGCCCGACATTCCTTGTAACCGGGATTGTTCGGGCGCAAGCTGCAAGACCTTCTTTTCGCTGGGGCCAGAAAAAGGAAATGTTACCAAAAATTGGCGTATTTTTCCAACGTCCGACTAAAATTTCTGGTTTGGTTTTGCATAGCGCGAGCTAGGAAAATTAACTTCTTTCCGTTGATAATCCACGAAAAAAATTCCGTTCTCCTCTTTTTGCTTACACTCTCTCTCTCTCTCTCTCTCTCTCTCTCTCTCTCTCTCTCTCTCTCTCTCTCTCTCTCTCTCTCTCTCTCTCTCTCTCTCTCTCTCTCTCTCTCTCTCTCTCTCTCTCGCTCTCTCTCTCTCGCTCTCTCTCATTGAATAGACTGTTTCCAAATTTTCCAATAACCTGAGATGTCATTCTTTTTTTCCCTTCTAAAAATAGTCTTTTTTCAGACCCTAACCGTAATCCTGATGGCGAATATGCCCGCCGGGGCGGTGTTGTTCTGCATTTGCTTTGGATTCAAGAGCAACTACGTGGGCACTCTCATCCTCTGGCCATTTTCTTGGGTCTCCGCGGTCGCTTCACTACTGACCTTCTACTTCATCCGCGACTATCGGCGCTGGCTGTTCAATAAGTTTGGCTATGAAGGGGAGAAGTCGACCTATCAGTCGTCGAATATCAGCAACATCACAAAAACTTCTTTGCATTAAAGGATTGACGATACATATTATTATTATTGAAATTTATTATACTATATACATATTATTATGATTGAATGACAAGCGAGGCTATGGTTTACCTTTTCGGTTTGGTAAAATAAATCACGGGCTCTGTACCAGTCTGTTGGGAAAATAATGGGGACTTACCGCGACACAATGGTCGTCGTATCAATATAAAATTGTTTGCAGATAAAATTAATCGTATTTTACAATAAAAAAATGAAAAAAAGCTTCTGATGAGAGTGGGATTCGAACCCACGCCTCCGAAGAGACTGGTGCCTTAAACCAGCGCCTTAGACCGCTCGGCCATCTCACCACAACGAGCGATGTTATAATTTGCTTTTTCGATTTGAAGAGTTAGGGGAGATACATAATCCTATGCATATTTATATGGTGCGACCTCGGTGTTTGTATCGGACCGGGTCTGAGCAGACATGAAAGGCACATGGTTTGGTCGCTTTTTAAACCGGCCTTTTTGATAAGCGAACCAAACAAGGCCGGTCCGTGCTTTCACCGGGCCAACGCTGAGCTAAAAACCACAGACGGACGTATCGGCCTGGGTGAACGTCACCTCTAGTGCAGAAGGTACCAGTTTGCCGGGAAAATAGCGGCGGGTCGTCGCAGTAGATGTTTTGTTGTATCCTTCACGCGCCAGCTGTTGTACCTTGACTGGTGATGGTGAAGATACGGAGTCAGGCAGATGTAGAAAGATAATAAATATAAGTTTATTATCAGATAAAAGCAACAATACGTAGCGTAACACCAAACATGCACTGAATAAAAATAACAGCTGAAATCCTATTTCTCGTCCAAGCTTGGAGAAGCTTCGAATGAAACGGAATGCCAATACAGTAATCGTAGTTTCCATTGCCGGACACAATGTGTTTCGCCTCGTCGAAAAAAGGGTGCAGTCGCGCACCGAGTCCTCAGCTGCAAATCGATGATGGACATTTCAAGGCTGGCTCGACGACCCTTCACTATTTTTCCGACAGACATCCTGAATGGATGTGTAGGCCATTCAGGATGCAAGATCTGCTTTAACAGCACCCGCCTCCATTAATAAAGAAAATAACAGGCGGAGAATTTAAGCTTTACATTTATCAGTTGTCCAGAGGCCCGACAACCCAGTAACGAGACAAGACGAGAGCTCAAGAGTCAAGTGATTTTTTCAGTGGAAAGGAGGCCTTTTATAGGGAAGCCCCACGTAGAAAATTACCATCAAATTTGAATAAATATAGACAGTTCCTCGTGGGAAAATCGTCGAAGTGCGTTCGTTTCGCCTCACATCAGTTTATCGGGAAAATAGTGAGCTCTGTCACATCAAAAATCTCATCGGCCTCCAGAAAATGAACTATGTCGAAAATCATACTGTTTTTCGCTTCAACAACGCGATCAGCGCAGCTACACTTTCTTTTCTCACTATTTTTTCCGACCGACTGATATTTTTTTCGGCTAGACAAGAATTTCTCGGGCTCAAGAATACTTTAATGAAAGGCCCTTGTCACGAGTTCGCGTGAGGATTTGCATAGGTCGATGGAACTAACAAAAAAAACAGTATAAAAAGAATGAACTTCCGCCTATCAGTTTGTGGTTCTATTTACGCACAATGAATTGTATTCCTAATTGGTCGGTTGTACGGTATTGTCTGGCTAAATCATAGCGCCTCACCGAAGCCGGAGTCGAACAGTGTGAGTTTGATCAGTGTCGTCGTCGGCCGTAGCGCTGTTTGGATACAGTGACGGAAAAGTAGCAAAAAACGCACCATTTTGCATCCGGGAAGTATCAAAAAATGTGGCAAAATGACTCCCTCTCCAAGTGAAAGGACTTCGTTTTGAAGGGCCCTCACAAAAAGAACGGGCGCGCTTTTGAAATCGAAGTTTTTTCACTTGTAGAGGGAGACATTTGGCTACATTTTTTGATACTTCCCGGATGCAAAATGGTATGTTTTTTGCTACTGGATCAGGCCAGAAACCGTAGGGAATATTTAGTTTGTCATAGTATTTTTGGGAGTGGGATCTTCAACAGGATACTTTTATTATACCCAGACATGTCTAGAGGCCGGACTTTTGGAATTTCCGGGCCCGCTTCCTTTTTCCACCTCAAAGCCCCCTGGCCCGGTCCTTCTCGAAATTCTGTAAGCCCGGTCCGTGCGGATCTGTGGCCCGGCCCGGAAATGTTTACGATCCTTTTAGAGCCAAAAATATACCTTGTTCCATAATGCCAGGAGTCCAAAGTTGGCATGCCAGTTTCTTATTACAATGGGAAAAAGTTTCTTTTTAAAATTTTTAAATGTGACCGGATGTTTTCAATCTCAAGCCTGAAACATGGAGCCCAGGAATGGTCGGCCCCGTACTTTTTGAAAATTTCGGCCCTTGCAATGTCTACCTATGCCCTAAACCGACGTACTCCAATCCAGCTCGTGACACCTTCTGCGTCGCTTTAAATACGTCGATAACCCATCAAAATGAAGGGTTCAACATCCGGTGTCTTTTCTGTTTCTCCTTAATCCTATGTTTTACTTAGAATTTCACATAAGTTAGTGCGTGTAATAACAGTCAGTCCACTATTTTTATCACAACTCGGTACATTTGACAAGACTTTTATATAATTGTTGGGTTATTGCGTCCAATGTGCGAACATTATTCTCAAACATTTTCGCTGCTAATACGCAGGAATATAAGTTCGGGCCGACCCGGTCCGATTACTACCTCTGTCCGCTACATACTGACAGTAGGTGGGTTAAGTAAAGACAAAGACTTAACTTACTTTTGCACCGCAAGGCGGCCTCGGAACGGTGCGAACAAAAATGCGCTGTGCAGTCGCGCGTCCTAAAAGGCGACTCACGGCAACCCGAAGTGTTTCGTGGCTCCTTCCGGCACTTCGCCCATTTTGTACCGCTTGTAATCCCAGCCCGGCCCAGTTTTTATAAACTACAATAGTTTACTACTTTATGGTACTTTTTTGCATATATGTTATAACATAAGACCCAAATTACAACATACATATAATATAGTTCATAGCAGATTTTAGAACCACACAGTCGGCAAAAGCAAGTTCTTCGGCTTGCGCCCTAACCGGGCTTTTACCGGGCCGGGCCTGGTTTCTACCGGGCCGGGCCTACAAAATTTTGAAACGGGCCGGGCATGAATTTAGCCGGGCCCCGGGCCTGAAATTTTGAAAAAGAGACCCGTTTGCCACCCCGGACTTTGACACTTCGTTTGGACGATACATCCTTTTGCATCGTCGCCGTTCGCGAATTTGCGACAACTCGCGATAAGCTCTCAGAAAGGTGCAGGACTGCCAAGACTTTTTCACCCATCTGGTGTATCAGTCTGTCAGGAAAATAATGTGGATTTGTCGCATCTTGGAATCGCCCATCATCGCGTTGCGGCGGCAAGCCGCGGCTGGAGATTTGGTGCGCGGCTGCGACGAGGCAAGACGTTTTTTGCGACAAATACACATCAATTTTCCCGACAGAACGGTAAATGTATGTATGTATAAATATTAAATTTATATTACATTTTTTATTTACTCTCATCGTTAATCTTTGATAAAAGTACGAGGGGTTTGAACTTTTTTTAAAGTCGATAAGAATGTCAAAACTTTCGAAAATCCGATCCTCAAATTAACTTTACACCATTAAAGCCCACGTAGACACAATTGTAGCGACCAACAAAATAGAGTTATTTACATAAACAAGGTAACGTGTAACAGTGACTAAACTTTGGGCGGTTAAGGCCTAAAAAAACATGACATTTTATGAGGCATGTCGCCTTTATATCCTTTAATTGTCCGCTCAGGATTGGTTTGAGATTTTGTCCACGAAAAAAACAACCGTCATAAGCTTGTTTTTGCATAGTAAATAGTCGAAATGTGCAAAAAACTAATTACTTTTGTCGACATTACATGGTCGCTAACCACTTTTTGTACATGTGTTTTTTATTATGCCTGCAGATAAACTGCACTCCTCTGAGCAGGCAATTGCATATTTAGTTGGCGGTTTGGCTCAGGAACGTGTCATAATTGCGCAACAATAATAACTGTGTACTCGGAGAAAACCGTTTTTAAGGGCAATTGTTTTTTTGACGGCAAAACGGTTTTACGGAATGTATTCGTATTTTCGTAAAGTGAATGGACGTTTTTCTCGTCCGCACAGTAAATTTGAACCCTTTCCCATACTTGTCGCCAGCGCACTGTGCATTCTTCTCCTTTCGCACGGTGCAAAGGACAAAAATACGGTTTGCACTGTGCAAAAAGCTGCTCGCTGCGACATTTCCGATGCACAGTGCAAACCAGAAAAGAGGGCAATGCACGGTGCAATTGAAAAATCGCCGCGCGCAAGGTCTTTCAAATTTGTCTCTGCGAATTTTGCTCGCGCCACAAACATTGCACAGTGCAAAAAGTGGTTGCCTTGATGCATTGTCCGCCGCTCGGCGCATTTTCTCCAATTTACGCACTTTTGAAAAGGTGCAGAAGTCGCGGCGATATTTGAAATGCGCGGTGCAAAAATTGGGGGTATTTCTGCACGGTGCGAGCCGCGACAAATGTTAATGCACTTTATGGAAATGCTAATGTCTTCATAAAGTGCATGAACATTACTCGTCTTTTGCAGCGTGCATTTGAACCTTGTTCCCACGCTTGTCGCCAACGCACCGTGCATTTTTCCCTTTTCGCATAGTGCAGACCATAAAAAAGCCGTTTGCACGGTGCAAATGTGTGTACGGTGCGAAATTGTCGCAACGAAAATCGCATCGCGCAAGAATTTAGTGCATCGCGGCATAGTCAACTTGCTGTTAATTTCAGCGACGCGATTGGCGCAGCGACAGAATGCTCATTATTTTCCCGACGGACTATTAATAAAATTACATTTTGCCGTTTTTGTATTTTGATTCCCGTAAACGTTTCTTGTTTTTTATTTACCAATTTTGGGCCATAAATCATACGGTTTAGTCAAAGAGCACGCCAAGACTAATTGGCGTGTAGGTAAATGAACTTTTGCATTCACGAATGCTTAATACGTTACGTTGCCTCCTCTATTTATGCTCGAAAATTAAAAGTTGTGCACGTAGAGAGCGGGCATTAACTTTTATTACTGAGAAAGTTGCCTTACGCAAGTATAAATGGGTCTGCACGATTGCGGTAATAGACAGTTGGGGAATAAACTAGAGAATCTTTTGTTTTACTCTTTGTTACGCTAAAATATGTACTACATAAAAGATGATTAAAATGAAGGCTTTAATAATTTAGCAAAATGTTTTCAATGTGTTTGCTAGCACCTGTCAATGTTTGTTAATACCAAAACGCCCTCGTGTCTAACTGTCTAACAATAAGTAAGGCCTAATCTCTTTTTGCTTGGTCTCCTCATTTTGCATACTCTCTCGTCGGCAAAGATCGTTGAATATCTTTGCCGAACTTGCATTGCACGGGCTAAGATTTCCAGGAATTTTTGTGCGGATTTAAATCCATGTAAAATTTAGAGAAGATCTGGGGGTTTCGCACAACCGAACCGCATATCTCCAAAATCGCTGTTTAGCGATCTGAGTAAATTATAATCAGACGGTGCCATGTCAGGTGAGTATGGTGGATGTGGCAGCAAAGCTCATCCATGCTCCTTGATTTTTCCGCGCACCATTGCGATGTGTGGTCGGGCGTTGTCGTGCAGGAAAGACACTTGGTCCATTTCTCCTCTAGCATTTTTTGCGACGGATGCAGTTGGCGACAATATAGTTCTGCAGTGACTGAACCTTCTAGAAAGTTCCGCAACTTCCATAACTTCTGATAATATTCCCGACGCATAAGCAAAAAAAGCGAAATGCACGTTGCAGACTGCGACAGAATGTACATGCACTATATGGAAGCATTAATCATTATACGCTGTCTAATGATCAGAATTTCCGGGTGCCTAAAAAACAAATTATTCTATTTCCACACTCTCTTCCGCGAATGACCAATTTAAGATTTATGTTATCGAATTTTACCCTGTTGTGTGGATTGCACTTTTTATTGGAAGCAAAGTGATTGTCATAAGTGCATAATAAAGTAGAGTACATGGATAAAACTTAAATGGGTCCCCCGTGCCGCCTCACTCCTATATGTGCTTAACCAAATCAAAAAAAACGTACGGACGGCCCATTTCGAAATTTACCCCGCTATAATCCCTGTATCCATATATTATATACGCGGGGTGCGCGCCGGCGCAGTTGAATTTGTCGCAAATAGAATTGTGGAAAAGATCTTTGGCTGGTTCTTTTTTCTGACCGAAGAATTACCTCACCTCAAGTGCAACCCTCAGATTTTGATGAAACTCGGCACGCTCTCCGCGTCTAGAGCCACGGTCTCGAATGAGTGTGCGTAATGAGGAGATGGATCATAGAGAGCATCCGCAAATTAGGGTACTTGTACTGCTAGTAATAGCATTTTTTGGTGATTGCAGTGCGCAGCAAAAGCCAGGCGAGCGACGGCCCAAAAAAGCCTATTGCACGGTACAAGAAGCAACCAATTGCACAGTGCAAAGTGATCTTTAGTTTTCTCAGGGTGAATGTCGCCAAAATCACTACAGCGACTTTAATGGACGAATAACTGAACCCACCTCTACTTTCATCATCGTTTAGTAACATTACAGTAAATTTTTTCTGTATTTCTTCAATTGTAACACTACAAATTCGTTTTAATGATACGTTCAATTTGCCGGACCGCTTCAAACCTTCCTTAAGCCGGCCCTAGAGCCTTGTCTAGAGCGGAAGCGGATATGAAAGCGATCTCTGGTCTATGGTACATGCATTACATAGTCTGTATATTGTTGGCTACATACGATAATAACATTTGTCGAGTATTTGTAGTTTGTCGTCTCAAAAACGAACTTGACGCCACCGAGGCAATAACAAATTAGGTTTTCACGTACTTCACGGAATTCATTTTAGTCATACGCTAATTCGCATCGCCGCCGCGTTTCGTCGGCGTCTTGCTAAACCTCGGCCAGTTTCAGAATGAACGCGATATCCGACTTTTTCTGGATCAACGATCTGGTCGGCTCGTTCCTGGGCTTCGCCTTGAACACCCTGCTGATCATTACGGTGGTGTGCAGTAAGAAAAAGAGACGATTGGATCCGTATGCAAGGATGATCATTGTCATGTCCCTCAACGATTTGTTGTTTTGTGCGTTCGAGCTGGGAATTCAGCACGTAAGTTGCTACTGTATAACTGCAAGGTTTTGTATTACTAGTCCGTTCGCAAAGTCGCTGGAGTGATTTCGGCGACATGAACTGTGCGAAAACAAAAGTTTCCTTTGCACTTCACTTTTTCTTTCTTTTTTGCACCGGGCAACAGGTTTTTTTGGGCTGTCGCTCTCTATTTTTTTACCATGGTAAATTACCGTCTATAAATAATTTCAGCTCCTCTGCGTCGCCGAGTACAAAATGTTTGTGAATGCGCATGGATTTGAGCAACATATCCCTACGTGGCTTCTACCGTACACCTTCCTCATCCACGACTTCCTCTTGATGAACTGTCTTTCCCTACTCCCGGCCATCTATTGCTATCGCTATGAACTCATGTCAAGGTTGGTTTTTGACTTTCTCCCAAAAAACCGTTGGCCCTCTATTTTATACCATAAACTTTACGAAAATTCAAATAGAACGTAGACCTCAAAGTACCCAAATTGTTTTCGCGTGTGATGAGGGTGTAATAAGTTATTACACACTAGTCGGGTCGTTCTTTACTGTACTTTCATCGAAATCCGAGTGTCTCACTTGAAGAACTTCCTTGTTTCGGGCACTAATTTTTACATTTTTAGTCCAGGCCGCGCTGAAGAGTGGCGCAGCATCCTGTCAAAGGTCGGAATCGCATTGTTCTCATCGCTGATTTGCGCCGTTTTTGGGATGCTGGCGGTGCGAAAAATGCTGACCAGAGACAAAAACATGTACATGGAAACATTGCCTTCGGCATGGATTTTCGGCGACAATCAGACGTTCTTTCTATACGCTGTTGACCTGGTAAGATGCCGGTCAATTTAATGAATACGAAAATTTCAGATGGACTGGGAAGGTCTTTCTTGGATCTTTACTACGTCGATAATTTCGGCGATATCCTTGTCGCTGACCACCTACTACGCCTGGAAATCGTATTCAGCGGCCAATATGAAGTTGAGTTTCATCAGTGCGAGGACCAAGAGCTTGCAAAAACAGTTCACAAAGAGTATTCTGGCACAGGTAAATAACATTTCATGTCACCGTTTCTGTCTCTTTTTATTTTTATTTTTTATTCGCGATAAACCTCGACTTTTTTCTAGACGATTGCCATAATCCTGTTGGAAAATGTTCCCGCAGGCGTCCTGTTCACCGGCACCTACTTTGGCTTCAACAGCAACTTCTACGGCACTCTGATCATGTGGCCGCTCTCGTGGGTGTCGGCCGCCGGCGCCGGAATCACGTTCTACTTCATGAAAGATTATCGCAACTGGCTTTTGCAGGCGCTTCATCTCAGGCAGAAGACCGTCGTACGATGGAACACCACCTCGAAGGTCTCGCTTGATGTAATTACCCGGCCAGGCGCCAATAGTACACTGTCCGGCTCAACATAAAAATAAATTAATTTGGTAAACCTTGTTACCCTTTAGTCGCACTGTAACAAGATTATTTACAAGATAATAATAAATGCGAGCTGACGTAATTTTGCTTGGCGGACAGAATACTGTCTATTTTCCTCCAAACGATCCCGGCTTCTAGCCTTTCCACAAAGTGCATGGACTTTAAATTCGCGACGACACAGTTGAAAAAAAACTCACAGCGCTGCGTTTTTGCAATTACACAGTGCAAAAAAGCTTTAAGGCAACGTACCTGCTGGAAAGTCAAGTATCTGACCTTGCAAAAACCAAAGGGGGCACTACACTCCTCCTTGTAAACGCGACTTGAAAAAGAAAGCAAGCTTGATGCAATATATATTTATTGCGAAACTCGGTTACACCATGAACGTTTCAAATCTCAATTTACAATGATGGGAAGGTGACTGGGAGAGGGACTCCAGTGCCGAATTCGAAGCTCTCCAATTTGGCAATGATCTCCAAGAGCTTGGCGATCAATTCAGCGAGGGGGTTTTCGAAAGGAAGGGTGATTCCGAAGGGAATATCCCTCTTGGCACGGTCGCCCTCTTCCGAAGGGACGGTCACTTCCTCAGGGTTGATGGTGGGCAGGTGCAGACATTCCAAGATCTGGTTCAGGATGTCGAGCAACACGTCGAAAGTGGGCTCAGCGGTGACTGGCTCGAAGGCATCTCTCTTGACACGGCCAGCATCAGAAGGGATGGTGACGGCTTCAGGGTTGACGGTGGGGAGGTTCAGGGATTCGAGGATCTTGTTCAGAAGCTCGATGATTACGACCAATGGAGATGGTGGAAGGCCAGTGACTCCAGAGAAGATATCTCTCTTGACTCGATCTCCTTCAACTCCCAATTCGGGGAAGGTAACGGCTTCGGGATCGACGGTTGGAAGGTGGAGATCCTCCAGAATTTGGTTGAGAATTTGAACCAAAGCCTCCAAAAGTGGCTCTTGTGGCTCCGGCAAAGTTACAGGTAAAACATTTGGAAGGGATGGGATGTCCGGTAGAGTTACAGGCGAAAGTTTTGGAAGGGATGGAATGCCTGGGAAGCCTGGAACCATGGAGAAGGCTAAGAAGCAGAGGACCGCAACACACTTCATTTTCGGGTTTCGCTGCTTTCGAATGGAGTCGAAAGTACTTATGATAAAAAGGTTGGCCGGTGATGGCTTATATACATATTTTAAATAAGGGTACATCAAGGAAGGAGCTTAGGTGACGTCAACTTCCGTCGTGGAAACCCCCGCTTCATCAGCTTTTACAAAAAGATGAAACAAAGAAGACCACGGCACCGTTAAGGTCAAGGGATTTGAATAATTCTGATATCAAAGTGAGATGGGTTTTGAAACTGAACCCTTCAATAATGTTTAATACTGTTTTCACGAGAACAGTCAATTCGGCGGACGGTCAATTTGATCAGATTAACTGTTTTGTTATATAAGCCATCGCCCACCAACCTTTTATCAATATTTCGAATCCATTCGAAAACTGCGAAACCCCCAAAATGAAGTGTGTTGTGGTCCTCTGCGCCTTGGCCTTCCCCATGGCTCAAGGCTTTCCAAGCATCCCATCTCTTCCAAAACTTTCACCTGTAACTCTACCGGACATCCCATCCCTTCCAAATGTTTTACCTGTAACTTTGCCGGAGCCACAAGAGCCACTTTTGGAGGCTTTGGTTCAAATTCTCAACCAAATTCTGGAGGATCTCCACCTTCCAACCGTCGATGCCGAGGCGGTTACCTTCCCCGAATTGGGAGTTGAAGGAGATCGAGTCAAGAGAGATATCTTCTCTGGAGTCACTGGCCTTCCACCATCTCCATTGGTCGTAATCATCGAGCTTCTGAACAAGATCCTCGAATCCCTGAACCTCCCCACCGTCAACCCCGAAGCCGTCACCATCCCTTCTGATGCTGGTCGTGTCAAGAGAGATGCCTTCGAGCCAGTCACCGCTGAGCCCACTTTCGACGTGTTGCTCGACATCCTGAACCAGATCTTGGAATGTCTGCACCTGCCCACCATCAACCCTGAGGAAGTGACCGTCCCTTCGGAAGAGGGCGGCCGTGCCAAGAGAGATATTCCCTTCGGAATCACCCTTCCTTTCGAAAACCCACTCGCTGAATTGATCGCCAAGCTCTTGGAGATCATTGCCAAATTGGAGAGCTTTGAATTTGGCACTGGAGCCCCTGTCCCAGTCACCTTCCCATCATTGTAAATTGAGATTTGAAACGTTCATGGTGTAACCGAGTTTCGCAATAAATATATATTGCATCAACCTTGCTTTCTTTTTCAACCTTCTTTCAAAAATGCAAGTTTGAAACAAATTGAAAGCCAAAAAAGCGGTAATTACTAAATTATAGGTATCAAGTGTAAGGTACCAGCAAAACAAGCAGATTTTTGCATGAATCACGAAGATCTTGCTGTTATATGTCGCCAGCACAAGCTACCAATGCATTACAGTGAAGCCTCAAATCATAAATCCACTTTTTTTGGCTTCTGTATATTTTATTACCTAAAAAACGTAAAGCAACTTACTCTTCGAAGTTTGTGCCAAGTCATATTAAAAATGGAGCTTTTTACTTGGTCCGGAATGAAATGTTCTACTCGTTACGTGAAGATGAAGACAGAAAAACGTTGTACGTCAAGATTTTTCGGCCATCTAATTTTCTCCCAACGCGAAAATTGACATTCCTTTTCCCCTTATCAGAGTCCAAAAAATCCGTTTGAGTGACCGTTTTTATATACGAGATCAAGACAAAAGGTCAAATATCGCGTAAACTGAAGAGATTTTCTTTCTCGAAGCCCGAGCTGAAACAGACGTAAAGATTTTTTTAGCTTTCCTCTAGAATTGCAAATCCATGTTTTTAAAAGAAAGCTGATAAAGAAATCAAGGTTGATGCAATATATATTTATTGCGAAACTCGGTTACACGCATGAACGTTTCAAATCTCAATTTACAATGATGGGAAGGTGACTGGGACAGGGGCTCCAGTGCCAAATTCAAAGCTCTCCAATTTGGCAATGATCTCCAAGAGCTTGGCGATCAATTCAGCGAGTGGGTTTTCGAAAGGAAGGGTGATTCCGAAGGGAATATCTCTCTTGGCACGGCCGCCCTCTTCCGAAGGGACGGTCACTTCCTCAGGGTTGATGGTGGGCAGGTGCAGACATTCCAAGATCTGGTTCAGGATGTCGAGCAACACGTCGAAAGTGGGTTCAGCGGTGACTGGCTCGAAGGCATCTCTCTTGACACGGCCAGCATCAGAAGGGATGGTGACGGCTTCAGGGTTGACGGTGGGGAGGTTCAGGGATTCGAGGATCTTGTTCAGAAGCTCGATGATTACGACCAATGGAGATGGTGGAAGGCCAGTGACTCCAGAGAAGATATCTCTCTTGACTCGATCTCCTTCAACTCCCAATTCGGGGAAGGTAACGGCTTCGGGATCGACGGTTGGAAGGTGGAGATCCTCCAGAATTTGGTTGAGAATTTGAACCAAAGCCTCCAAAAGTGGCTCTTGTGGCTCCGGCAAAGTTACAGGTAAAACATTTGGAAAGGATGGGATGTCCGGTAGAGTTACAGGCGAAAGTTTTGGAAGGGATGGAATGCCTGGGAAGCCTTGAACCATGGAGAAGGCCAAGAAGCAGAGGACCGCAACACACTTCATTTTCGGGTTTCGCTGCTTTCGAATGGAGTCGAAAGTACTTATGATAAAAAGGTTGGCCGGTGATGGCTTATATACATATTTTAAATAAGGGTACATCAAGGAAGGAGCTTAGGTGACGTCAACTTCCGTCGTGGAAACCCCCGCTTCATCAGCTTTTACAAAAAGATGAAACAAAGAAGACCACGGCACCGTTAAGGTCAAGGGATTTGAATAATTCTGATATCAAAGTGAGATGGGTTTTGAAACTGAACCCTTCAATAATGTTTAATACTGTTTTGACGAGAACAGTCAATTCGGCGGACGGTCAATTTGATCAGATTAACTGTTTTGTTATATAAACCATCGCCCACCAACCTTTTATCAATATTTCGAATCCATTCGAAAACTGCGAAACCCCCAAAATGAAGTGTGTTGTGGTCCTCTGCGCCTTGGCCTTCCCCATGGCTCAAGGCTTTCCAAGCATCCCATCTCTTCCAAAACTTTCACCTGTAACTCTACCGGACATCCCATCCCTTCCAAATGTTTTACCTGTAACTTTGCCGGAGCCACAAGAGCCACTTTTGGAGGCTTTGGTTCAAATTCTCAACCAAATTCTGGAGGATCTCCACCTTCCAACCGTCGATGCCGAGGCGGTTACCTTCCCCGAATTGGGAGTTGAAGGAGATCGAGTCAAGAGAGATATCTTCTCTGGAGTCACTGGCCTTCCACCATCTCCATTGGTCGTAATCATCGAGCTTCTGAACAAGATCCTCGAATCCCTGAACCTCCCCACCGTCAACCCCGAAGCCGTCACCATCCCTTCTGATGCTGGTCGTGTCAAGAGAGATGCCTTCGAGCCAGTCACCGCTGAGCCCACTTTCGACGTGTTGCTCGACATCCTGAACCAGATCTTGGAATGTCTGCACCTGCCCACCATCAACCCTGAGGAAGTGACCGTCCCTTCGGAAGAGGGCGGCCGTGCCAAGAGAGATATTCCCTTCGGAATCACCCTTCCTTTCGAAAACCCACTCGCTGAATTGATCGCCAAGCTCTTGGAGATCATTGCCAAATTGGAGAGCTTTGAATTTGGCACTGGAGCCCCTGTCCCAGTCACCTTCCCATCATTGTAAATTGAGATTTGAAACGTTCATGGTGTAACCGAGTTTCGCAATAAATATATATTGCATCAACCTTGCTTTCTTTTTCAACCTTCTTTCAAAAATGCAAGTTTGAAACAAATTGAAAGCCAAAAAAGCGGTAATTACTAAATTATAGGTATCAAGTGTAAGGTACCAGCAAAACAAGCAGATTTTTGCATGAATCACGAAGATCTTGCTGTTATATGTCGCCAG